TATTAGTAGGCACTGCTACACGTGTTTCGGTATACACTACCATCTCAGGCAGAAGACAAACTGAAGACGGTACTGTGTACCGAAAGAAATTTTTGAAACTCGTTAAAGTTTTTTCTTTAATATTAAGATTAATATGGAGTTTAAACAAGCAACCGCCCCATCAATACAAATTCAAAAAAAAATTGTAAACTCAGAAAGTACTTTTCGTAATATAAAAGGGAGTTATTCCAATATGTAAAGCGAATCCTCACGTTTCGAGCTTATGGATTGTCAATAATACATTTTCTGAATATAATACATATACCTATCCGTATTAACAAACTTATTGTTATGAAATTTTAAATATAGCATATCCACACTTTCCACTGCATAACGCGGGGGCAGTTCTTAAAAAAAACATCTTTTTTTTTAACTTGGTGAAATTTTATATCACGTATTTTTAAAAATCAAAATCTCAATTATTAATGGAAATTTCGGAACGGGGTTTTCACCACTGTTTTCAGCTTACAAAACTCTATAAATTTTTATTTATAACATTGTCGACTTTTTTGCCGGGAATGAGATATCGGAGATGAGAGACGACAGAAGGTTCTTCGGCACAAACTATTCACTGTATCTCACTTCCGACAAAAAAAAGACGACAATGTTATTCTACAATAGTTAGGGCTTTTAATTTCGCGAGGGCCACAATCGACAATTATGCCCGTGGTACATTCAACGTTTTATTCTATTTTAGTTTCTAAAATATTTTTAACGAAATATTGCGTATTTCCGGCCAGATTGTGTGAATTGTGCATATGCGAACTTTAATACATAGCTGGCTATTGTTTTGATGTTTTCGTTGCTTATTTGTTAAATAATTCGATTTTCAAAATGTAAGCTGAAAAAGCGAAAACGCTTATTCCAAAGAAATTTTAGAAGAATTTGAAGTCGGCCAGGGATTCATTTGATGAAATATTATATTCCCAACTTTAATAAACATGTTGAATATGGAAGCTTGTTTGAATAATTAATTAATGTAAATGAATAATCAATCGTTGCTTGGCAATTTTTGACTGATTCGTGCCATAAAGGCCAATTTATGCCCGCATTGGGTGCTTATAATAGTATATTATGATATTAGTTTATAATGCAAGGGATTATGGCATCAATGAAAGTTTAGCGCATGAGCGCAGCGAATACAATTATTCCATGAATGTCATAATCCCGCATTATAAACGAATATCATACCCTGTTTTGTGGTCGAAGTAGCAATAATGTAACATCTTGATTTCTAAATGTTACTTTTATCTTCACTTAAAAAAAATACAAACGGCAATTCATGTTGGTTGGCGTTTTTTCAAATAATTCAATTGTCTCGAAAAATTACTTTAGGTGTATCATTTTGTTTCCTTGACAATTTTATGACACCATAAATCGTGCCATAATTTGAAATCGTGCCGTAATGTGACAGATTATAAATGATTTTCGATGCGTCAAACGGGAATTATGAGGCTTCTCGACCACAAACAAGATAGATATGATTCTAAAATAGAATAAAATCTAATACTATATCAAATCCTCGTGTCACAGTGTTTGTAACCGAACTCCTCCAAAAAACGGCTTGACTGATTTTTATGAAATTTTTTGTGTATATTCGGTAGGTCTGAGAATAGGTTGTAAACTATTTTTTATATCCCTAAGTGATTTTTTGGCCAAAATTTTTTATTATTTTTTTTAAGATTTGGCATTAAAAATACATATAACCCTAAATTTTCACGCTTCTACCGCCAACCCCCCATTTTTTAATAACGATATTAGTATCTTTACATTCATCCACAGATGCGCAATAGGGTTGCAAGATGGCTGTTGAATGTAATCATTGTCGTACAATAAATTTTTATGTATAATTTATTTATTTTAATTTAATTTTTTATTTAACTAGCAAAATATTCACTAGAAATAATTTATATTGCAAAACAACGTTTGCCGGGTCAGCTAGTAACTTTATACAATAACAACGTATTATGACTTGTCAAAGGCGTTTGACTATGTTAGGCATAATATTTTACTCTATAACCTTCAGTTCTCACGATAATAGTATCTAGTTCTTATTAAAGTCGTATTTAACTAAAAGGAAACAATAAGTGACAGTTAATCAGTTGTGTTCATCTTATCTTCAACTGACTTGCGGGGTTCCCCAAAGATGTATGTTGAGTCCGCTGTTATTTATTATATATGTCGATCGATGATTTATCGTTTTCGGTTCGACACGTAATTTCATTTTACTTGCTGATGACGCTACCGTTTCAATTTCAAATAATAGTCTTCCACAGTTCACTCTAGACAAACAAGTGGCTGAAGAAAAAAATGTGGATGGTTTTACTCTAATAATTTAATTACAAATCAGAATAAATCTCAAAGTAGATATAGGGTTTAGAAACTTGGGGAAGGCTGTAAATCTGTATTTATAACAATCTAAAAATCCATGTGGATACATTTTGCAACATTTACTTTACATGCATACGAATTTAAAAAATAATCATTCATCTAATCATGTCTATAGCACTATTTTTTACGACCCAATAAATCGAGAAATGCTACTCCACAAAATTTTGGGCAGTTCTGTCATTCCAGTGACATAAGCTCTAAACCAGGCTTTACGTACTAATAACCTCAAATTTGCCATGTTAGTCATTTTGACGTAGACTGGAATGTGGATGATGACGTATGTCAAAATTTATATGACGAATGTCAAAATGTATTTTTTAAAACTGTCAATCATTATGACAACAAGACATAGACTACATCGTGTTTTTTTTAAATGTCAGAAAAATACTGCCCAAGATTTTCAGGCCGAAACTGTACCATCCACATCTTTATATGCATTTTAAGTCTTTTAAGGACAAAATAAAAAAGTTCTTCTGCACAATGGACAATGTTTCTATACATTTCGAGAGTTCATTGATTTTTTCTTCAACAAATAGAACTTTTGCATTTGAGATGGCTCATCTCTAAGTATTATTATTGTAATTAGTGTATGAAATGTTACTTACAATCTTTGTTTGACGTGTGCAAAATTTTATAAATTAATGCATTACAGTAAACTATTATAATATTATTATTATCATCATTATAATGTACAGCGATCAGAATTTACAAGTACGGCGTCCGCCGTTTATAAATTACAATTTTCGTCCTTTATTAAATATGGCTTTCAATATTTATTATAAAAACGACGTTCATATATAATATTAATATATATAAAATCAGGATGTCTAAGGTAAAAATAATAGCGGATTCATAAAGTACACTTATAAAAGTATGTTATTTTATGAAATTTAAATAACATTTACTATGCAAAATTTTAAGGTGACGTCAGTAGATTGTTGGTGGAGAGGATTAAACAAATTTGAGTAGCGTTTTACACCACGATCTTCCTAAAATACATATACAATCAGAACAATATCTGCACTAATAAAAATCGACACAGATGACAGACAGATGGAAACGAGAGACATATTTTTTCATACTCTAGGGATCATGAAACGTCGGGAAAACTCGATGTGATCCGATTTATTGGTCTGCTTCCACTTAGATCGTACTTCTACAATCGATTGAAAGTTTCAGGAATTGCAGGTGTTACGTAATGTTTTTTGAAAATTGAGTTTTTTAAGTGAATTTCGGCAATTAGTTCCATTTTATTATTTTGGTAAGAATAGTATCGTTGAAATGTTATAATCCAAAAAAAAAAATCGCCTGTTTACAACTACTGAACACGCAGATAACAGATAAACGCGAAAGTTAACTTCTGAATGGGTGTCAACAGACAGATGAAATTGGTAGAAACACCACCAACTTTATTCATATCCGTTGACAAGTATAATACACACCTATTTCCTTTCCAAAAAAGTTATGTAGATAAGCCTTGGCTTGAGTAATTAATCTATCTTTTTGATGTTAAAAGTAGTCAAAAAATTTTCGAATGATATTCGTTTTTCAAAATGTGAAAAACATACTGGTCGTATGAAAATCAGCGTTTGTTCATGATTTTCAATTGTTTCAAGATAGTGACGATTTTTTAGTTTCGAAAAAATTATTTCTGTAAAAAGCCTGTTTAAGAATTGATAATGTGCGTGACAACGGTTTGTTAGGAGAATTGAACTGGGTGACTATATCTAAAATTATTTTTATTTTAAGTTTACTGCAAAGACCTAAAGATAATTCTATCAATTAAATACGCTTTATTAAATTAATATCTACTATGTACCAAAATTGCGGAAACATGACAATGCCTTGAACCAAACCAGGTGTAAAACCAGGTCAACCAACCTCCAGTGGGATAGCGTCAGGTAATCATTTTGCTATATTCAACTTAGAAAAATGTTTAAAATAACCTTTTCAATGTTTTATTTATATTTTCATGTTACAGTGTTCAGGAAAATAACATTTAAAAAGCCTTCGAATAGAATGTTTTTAATTTAGCAATTTCCCCTTGCAAATGTTATTCCAAAAATACACTCAAACACTTAATAGCAGAACACAATTGCGTTCAGTTAATACACTTTTAGGGTTTTATCGATAATTACGTTTACGTTTAATATTTCTGGTAGGCGTGAACATTTTTTGGAGAGTTCTTTCTCACCCGTTTCCATGCATACGCTAACCTTGAATTCATCAAGAGCATGGATCCTTCAATTTAGCACACACTGTTTTCTTTTTTAATATTCAATGTCCAAAATATACACACTATGTATTATGGAATAAATAATACAGGGAGAATAACTGTAAACTTTGTTTAGTACATAAATTCATTTGTAACAAAACACCTTCATTTTCTGAAGCCTTCAAATTGACTGATACGAAGTACCAAATAATGAATGTATCAAAACGTACTGATTTTAATCAATTTTTAATGTGAATTAGTTCTATTTCATCAAGACATAATAAAACAAAATCGCCAAGTCACGATAAACCAACTGTATAAAAACTCATCAGGGCAACAACAAGACATCACTTACCTGGGCAACATTCTCAAAATGTTCATGACTCTTCTGGTACACCCTAGCTTTCTGAAGATTTCTGCCAATTCCGGTATTCTTCCTGATAAAAACCTCTCCGTGATTAGATAACCAATCCAACACCTGTAACAAAAAGAATTGTTTTTAAGAACTGTTGAGATGTTCACTAATAAAAACAATTATAAATCTATTTTCAAACAAATACAACCACTTACTTGTTTCACATCTTCTTGAAACAATCGCAACGCTAATCTTTGATGTAATTTAATTTTCTTGGCGTGCCACTTTTGTTCCAGAGCTCGATGGTGATTTAAAATTTGATGAATTACCGCTAAGACATGACTAGCGCCCTCACTATAATCGGCGGCAGGATTTCCTCCAGGTCTATTTTCGAAATTGCTTGTCCCGTCTCCCTGGAATAATAAAAAAACAACGTACTTTCAAGTAACGCTATTGCGTAACATAGTAAGCCAGTGTTAAAGAATAAATATCTACGTTAATTTTAATTTACTTTCGTATTCAGCAGTATCACATGCGAAATTTTCAACTGAAAGGCACGTTTAGAACGCACTTTAGTAAGAGAACAAATGCTTTGTTTTCGCGCAATCAATAGTTAAACTGCCTTCCACCCAACTAGTTCAATAAACGAGGTATAAAACAAAGGAACTATTGCATTATACTTCGATCGGCATTTCTATCGTCTATTTTTGACCCGATGCTGAAAAATGGTTCTATAATATTCTAGATAACAAGGACAACGTAAATATGCAAATTTGGTTTAGTTTTTTATCAGTTTTAAAATTAAAATATAAGTAATAATTTTGCGCGGAAATTATTATTATGTTAAAAAATAAATAAGTAAAAACAAAATTCACGTTTTAGCAAAGCAAGCACCAACCCCGCCTGCGCTTTGTTTTGACGTCTTTCTTATGGAAAACTACTCAAATATTTTATTATATTCGTTTTTCAGTTTTTAATTCAAAGTATCTCGCGAAACCGGCTTAAATTGAATGAATTTAAAATAAGAATGTTGTACGTCTTTCGACTATAAAATTAAAGGCCCTTTCAACTCTTTTATGAATTTAATTTAGCTGGAAATGTGAGAGTTGGGCGAATTACATTGTACATTAATGCAAAAAAGGTACACCGGAATGATACTGCTGAAATTGTACAGATGTGAAGAACAATTAGTATTAAAAATGTATATTTACATGTTGCTTTTTTTCACTCCCAGGTTGATTGCAGACTTGAACCAAATGATCCAACTGATAGAGAAGTTTCTTACTGGTACTATGAACCTGTCACCAACCAACACCATACATATTAATGAAAATATTAAACCTAACTACGATCAAACTTAAAAGAAGTACAAATGGATTAGAATTGGATATTTCGAAAAAAGAGCAGAAAAGAAGAAGTCTCAAAATTACACCCGATCCCTATAAACAAAATAAATCATACGTTAATAAAATTTGTACTATGGTTTCCGTCTCCATCTGTTGCAGTCGGTATAGTATGGCACACTTGTAACATGACATCCAATCCATTTAGGAGTGACTGATATGAGTTATAAACCTATAGAATTAATGAGTTTTTAAACATAAACCCTTATATTTACTTATTACTAAAACGGCACTGAAAAAATAACGTCAGATTTTTGTAAAATTTTTCCTGTACCGTTTGCACATTATATAAGACGAAAATTAAACACGTAGGTACTTTTAAATAACTGGGGTAACATAATGCAATGTACAGCGTGATTAAAACCTTCTTTTTTTTAAATAAAATAATAAACACAAAAATAAATTTTAAACAAATGTTCAAAATTTTGCTACTGAGTAAAAGGCAATTGTTCCAATTTTAATGTCGAATATTAATATTAATATAAAGGCCTGAATACACGAAATAGAAACCATTTGTGACAAATTTTCAAAACCTTCTATAATTTCTTTACATTCGCACGAGCAGATTTTAATTATGTTTACAAAAAATACGAAAAGTAACCTTCTCTAAATTTAATTTCCTTCTTGTGCATTCTTATTCAGTGCTAAAAAACAAGATACAGAATTTGGAGTGAAAAACAATGGACAAAGAATATAATTTGGGAAAACAGTTCCTTGTTTCCTTCCTTGTTTTTAGTAACAAAATTGTGTAAGTATTTAGTAGACTAATCAAATGTTATTTTACTTTATTTATATAACAAGGTGTGAAAACATTATATGATATACGTGTAAACGGTTGATGTTTGAAATAAGTAAGAACTGTTTATTGAATTTACAAACAACTTCAATTTTCAATACTTAATACTAAATAGCAAGTTTGGAAGAACAATAACGAAAAGCTAAATACCTAAAAGCACATAGTAATACATTTGTACTTCAAATCGATTTTTTTAAGCTAGAAGATTTTGAAAGTATTGAGAACCACTAAGCATTGAGATGGTTATTATCTGCAGTTAAAATTATTAACGGCAAATAGAAATCTACCGTCAATTTGCATTTATTTTTAAAGTAAAATGATGTATAACAAATATTTTTTAAACAATCATCGCCCTAAATAATTTGTTCCAACAACGTTAGCATTGTGATTCCTATATTTATTCTCCGTGCTCTATGAAATATAAATATAGACTCAATTTCCCCAGAAAAAAACAGTTTTTAATCCAGTAAGTACTACTTCCATTATATCATTTTTATTTTTTAATAAGCTGATTCTTTACAGCAAAATATGAGCAACGTATTTTGATAATTAAAAAAAAAAAAACGCCGGTTTGAATCACACTGTAAATTTGAATAAATTCATTTTTAACACAAACAGTATTCTTCTCTAGTTTAACAAAGTTAGAACTACAATAACGTGGTCAAGTATCAGTTAGCGCTGAAAGTTAGACTAAATAGTTATACAAATTCGTCCGAAAAGTAGGTCGTAACTTGACTTGCAAAAATGACAACAAATCACAGTTTAAGTTGCCTTAAAACGCGAGATTGTCACAACACAAGTTGTATGTTTTAAGAGACGACCTACGTAATTTGGTGACATAATGGGCAGCAAAAACTAGATCACAAATCAACGAAATCCCGCGGTATATTATCTAGTGACAGATTGAATAAGACTAATTAAAATATGCAAATACTTTGATGTAACACACTTTTTACGGAGAGGACTGACAAAAAAAATTCTTTAATCAACTTATCAAAACAGAAAGAAAGGGTACATAACTTTGATTCATTCTTTCGCTAGACATACTATAGATGACCTTGTCTTGCACTAAGGCGGCAGTGCACTTCTTTATAAAGTAGCGGTAAGAATAACATTTTTTAGGTTCAACACCCAAACATTGATATACGTAATAGTACCTTTCAAAACAACTTTTATTTATGAATTATTCCTCGAGTAATGCTATCCTTGTATTTTTTATATATCCTGTTAAGACGAATACAGTGGGAAGGTGTTTTCCCAATTGGAGGTAAAATAAAACCTTAAAACTACATATTCATACTCAAAAAACGCCTCAAGTTTCAGTTGAAAAAGTGATAACTTTTTAATTATTAAAGTTGATTTTTTAAATTTCTACCACATTTGTAAGCGTTCTTTAAAAGTAATAAAAAGTTTTATTTTTGGAGCAGGAATTGTCACTGAAATACAGATTGTACCTATAAAGTGGCCGAATAACACTATTTTACTCTGTTATCATTTAAATAAAGGTGACTGGAGAGGTAAAGACAAATCCAATATTCATTTCATTCTTCACGTAAATCAAGGAAGTAAATCATGATACCAAACGCGTTAACTAAGTTGAATTCAACACATGAAATCTGGTACAAACTCAAAAAGCACGCTAAACAAATTTTGTTGAAACAGATTATATCAGCATACATTGAACACAAACATGAAAAGTTAAACAAGGTACCTCTGTATAAGCTTGGCACATCGATTCATACAAATTTTGATGCTGATGAATAGAATTTTCTAACATCATTATCTCTGAAGGTATATTGGCATTTTCACACGCAGACTTCCAAGTAGGCACGTTATCCACATATTGTTCAGCTTTATGATGAAAAATCACTGATAAAGCTAACACTGCTGTCCTTTCATCTAAACCCGCAGCAAAATCCTTCCATGTTCTATCCAATCTGCTTGCGACAGATCTGATGTGAGTAGCAGCGTAATGACCACCCTCGATTAAACGACTAGCCACGGAGAGTATTCTATTAATATTAACGTATACATTCATGGAACTCATAGTAAAATGTTGGTGTTCTTCTTGTAATTGCTTAGCTAGTTGGTAAGTATGGCCGATTTCTACGTAATTTAAAAGGAACACATCACGGTTGTGGCAGATCCAGTCGAACATCTGAAACACGAATCGAATTTTTAGTTGTAAGAACAAGTTCAACGCACTTACTTTTTCGCAGTCCTGTTCAAACAACCTTAACTGAAAGCACTGATCTAATTTTAATTTTTTTTGGTGCCAAAGTTGAAGGAGATGCTGCTGTGAAGTGTGCACTGCCTCCAAATTTTGCAGAACTAAATTTTTTATGTCTGTAGTATCCGAGTTAGTATTATTAGGAGAATCCGATTCTCTGCCGCCTCCTCCCCCGCCGCCGCCCCCTCCTCCTCCTCCTCCACCACCGCCGCCGCCGCCTCCGCCACCTCCTTGGCCCGTATCGCTCCCACAAATTTTTTGCAGCAACCGTTGACCTATAACAAGACCATAATATAGCTCACAGATACAATTTAATGGACTGATTAATAACACTTTACAAACACACGATTCAGGTACTACTTGTTCATTAAATGGTGAAAAATCAGCGCGGACGCGTAGCTTTTTCACGGTCGATTTTCGAGCATCAGCGAGTTCATTAAATTTTCATCGAGTTTATTAGAGATGAAAGGAAGTTCTTACTGAAGTTAAAACTTCGAAGACGACTTTTTTAATATACTGAAAATTTTTTCCAACTTCTTAGTATGTTACGTAAACGGCAACGACACTTAACGGAAAGCAGGTGCCAATGGAGATCTGAATATAATACAGCAACTTTGAATTAACGAGATTTCAAACGAAGACTACCTCCGGTAGCGCCTTGTTAAGACAATCTACCTAATTAAATATACAATCAAAACTTTCTGGAGTAATAATAATTACTAAAGTTCCTTTATTAAAATCTGATATTAATTGAATGCGGTAGGCGGAAATTGATGCTAAAATTAACTAATCGGGTTATTTTCGCGTTATATTATTTTTAATAATCATAAAATTCGCAAAGTCTTTACCTAATACATCAATATCTTCCACAGGAGCTTTCATAATTTTCTTTTTCATTTCGTTATGTAAGTCTATTTTGTGCTTCGCTCCACTGACATCATCGGCGAAATCGTTTCTTGCAAGGTCTTCCTGTAGATCATCTAAACGATCCAAAAGATCAGCGGCTTGCCACGCAAATTCCTCTACAGCAAGCCTAATTTCTAGCCAAGTTGAATGATCATAACTTAGCGTACCATCGAGATCTGATGTTAACTGCGATGTGTCTATTATTTTTGACAAGGCCTCTATACTTATCATATTTGTCTGGAAAAAAAAGGTTCATTATAGAAAGCAAAACACACATTAAAAAACATGTCAATATTTATCGTTATTTACGCTGTGAAATTTTATGGTCGCAAATATTTATAACTCTCGGCTCTGCTTTAGCTTATTAGAACATTTTCAAAATGAATAAACTAATTTAATTACACCTCCAGTTACAATATGAAGTTAAAAGCGGCTTCACTTTAGTGGAATAACCAATAATGATTATCACCTACTGTTGTGTAACAAATGGAATTAAGTAATAGACGTCTGTGCATTAGTATTTTGCCATACGTGAATGAAATATTTGAAGAAACGCAGTCAAAAACAGGATAAAAAATACATCGTAAAATTAACTCTGAAAATGTGGTGGTTACTAATTTTTTCAACATTATTTTGGAATTACACCTTCGAACAATATTGTAAAAATGCGACTGAAAAAATTCTCTTTAATTTAATTAATTTATTTAGGCATTCACAAGAAAACCCAGCTGTGTTTTCGGACTTCATCACATGAATACTAATAGCCATAGAAGATCCCCGGATAATGATGAAGCACTCGTTACTGACTGAGGTAAAAAATATTGATTTACACTATTAAAAATGGCACGCATAATATTTATCATTATGAAACGTTGTCAGCAAGATTGCAAATTACCATTTTCGTTTAAAAACAAAAATAGATAAGCTCTATAAGAGACTGTTAACGAGTCAGTAAAATGTTTGAAAAATAATACATCGAAAACAGTACATTAATTGGCGGTAAAATCGGTACAAAGTTCTCTTAAAAAATTTATTGGTTATTCAGACCATGAAAAAGATAAACAAATTAATAGTACTACAAAAAACAAAGTAAATTTATTAATATAACAGACACGTTGCGTTTTTAGTTAGTGACATTGATATCTACATTGTCATCAAAAGAGACGTATTTCGGTACACAAATATTGACATGAAACAGGTTATTTTTTTTTTTTGAGCTACACGAGAAACTGATCGATCAATAAATTATTCAAACATTTTCAACACATTTTGTACTCTGTGCATAGGTGGACCATAGCTCTGGGCACATATAATTCACTGAACCATGCCAGCTAATTGCAGTCACATTATATAAGATCAGTTAACAATGCCAGTAACTTTTATTCTCACTGTAATATTTAAAATCGGATTGACAAATCCCAGGATTACTGTCACTATTACTATATGATCAATGTCGAAGGTGCAACTGAAGTCGAGGCGGATAAAGCGAAAGTGAAATTTCAATTTTTGAAATATTAAAAAGTTTTAAAAAATACGCAATAAGCTTGAGTAAAAGTTCAGTTGATTTAAAATTCAGTAAAGCAAAAAATAAAATTAATTTTAGTGTGTAATTTCCCTAGTGTTCAAACCGTCGGTAACCCTGTGCGTAAGAAATAAATTTCACGTAACTTAAAAAAACAAAATTAAACTGAAGGTAAAACGTGAAATTTTAGAGTTTCTTAAAAATAACTGTTGCATAATTACAGACAGTCCAGTTTAGTTTATCCATGTTTACATCATTAATTTTAATACAGTAACAAATTCAACCTTGAACTTGCAACTGAAGTAAAATGCGTGAATACTTGGGAAAAATTTATTCTTGTTCCCGTTGCTTGTTTGACTGATGAATCTAGTATGATGATTACCGAAAAATTATAACTATAATTATTATTTCTCGGTCTAGTTATACATCTTAAAGAAATCTGCACAACCATTAACATCGTTTCCAAGAAAAGGAAGAAAGTCGTCACAATAGAGAGGAATGTTCAACGATCTGCATTTAAATAGATAAACGTTTTTATACGTTTAAGACGGCATAAAATAACTTTCAAATCTCTTTATGCTTACGGTTCTTACCTCAAATTTGTACTTATGGGAACCAAGCGAAGTTCTCTGTTTTTGCCAGAAGTTGTCCGGTTTAACAATGAGTGCCTGGTGAACGGCTCCAGGTGGAAAATGTTCATGTAATGCTTTTAAAATAGGCTTGACTGTAGACCAAGTTGCTCCACGCATATCGACCAATACCGTAAAACCCAAAGCCCTCGCTTCGTCACTGTAACAAAGTTTTGAATGCGATTAGTATTGGTATAGTACTTATATATTAAGCAAATACTTCTACAATTTTCATAGATTCTTATGAAATATTAAAACAATCGTTTGGTCAAAATTAACTCAATTTTTGCAAGTTTGAATCACATCGAAATTTGGTGTAACATCAGTGCCCGCAAATATGTATGTGTTTACTCAGAAGATTTTTGTGTCCGCCGAAGTTTTATGACGATCATGAGGGGTTGCACGGCAAAATAATAAAGTTAGTGACGATTGTAAAAATTATACATATACCTATTACAAAGTAGCAAAACACAAAATATAAACTTACTAAAAAACACAATATAAACGACGCCTATATGTACGATACACATAATGAATAATAAAAAACCGGTAATCTTATTACCAAAAGTATTACTTTTGAGAAGGTTCCGGCGAAAATAATGAATTATTATTATAATTAAACCATTAAAGTCATTTTGCCTCGTGTTCACTGCATTTTTTCCACTTTTGATGGTAACTGCTTCTACTTGTTCACGTATGACCTTTACTACAATGGGAGAGCTCTCTGGGTGGTTGTAATATTTTCCGATCCTTGCTTTGAGATCATTCCGAATCAATACATTTGGATTAAAAATACAAGTATGAAGGTAATCTCGGTATTTGAAAAACAATGATTGTACCATTTCATTAAGTAACACGGTTTTTTTTATTCCCCGAGATAATTTTTAATAATAGCTTTTTACTTCCTGGGCGTAAGCTAGTAATCGAGTCCACTTTTTTTGCTTTTCCCGTTGAGTGGGAATACTGAGGTTTTTAAAATTTATGAACTAATAATATCCGACTTCAGTAGCTGAATTTAGATTTTTTTTGAGATCGTCATGAATGTGACGGGACATTGTTCATGCTTATCGGTCTGTGGCGGCATTTAGGAAACGTTGATTTTCACACCATTCTTCGAACAGTGTTACTTTATGTTTTCATAATAATCAGCATTATATTGTTTTACTACTCCTACAAATATGTAGCTTAAATTTTAAATATCTGGTTGACCGAGCTTCACTCGGCTCGTTTGGTAGTATTAGATCAGATTAGGACAGATAAATATGCGTATAGCATGCATTTTGAAGTAGACGCGCTAATTAAAAATACACATTAAAAAAGAAATTCCATAAGCAGTCTTTGTTTTAAACAGTGATAAGTGACATGTAGAGATTAAAGAACAGAAAACTGGAATTATTGTTTGACATTTATTACAATTTCATTTGTTACCCAAGTTTTCTAGTTCTTTCCAGGGGTCTTGAAATGAGATAGCCTTCACCTTACCCTTTCATTGCGAAGTTTTCCGACCCGCCCGCCAGGAGTCGTAATGAAAAGAAATCTGTAAAAGCTGTGATTTTCAAAATTTTTGAGAATTCGTTTACATCTCCTAGCAATGGCAGTGTTTATTGGTGTTTTGGTGTTTATCATTTGACACATTTCCTGTGTTGTGTTCGCGTCATTTATGCGTGATTTAATTGTGGGATAGTGCTTCTCAAAGTTTTCTTAATTTATGTGTTTACATTGTACATTGAAGAGTATAATTGCCAAATGTAAGTATATAACTTTGCCTTTACTACATTATTATACCCAATTTTTGTAGAACCAAAATGCAACACAACAACATGTTACGGATATGTGACAAGAGTTAAGCCGATCTTTGGGTTCCACATCCAAATCGGTTTATGGCGCAAATAATAAAGCCGCGAATAACCAAAAACTGGTGGTTTTAAACAACAACCAAATTTATAGCAGAGGGTACACTGGCTTCCATCATTTTCGACCAGACAAAGACTACATACCAGGAACGCAAAAGCCGCATGGATTTGCCACCTATTTGGCCTTTTCAAAGTAAAAACAAATTGAAAGTCACTACAAAACAAATATTAGGATATTTTTATTCACAGCTGATAGTGAACTTACTGCAGCATCACTCGAGGCAAATTACATTGATGTGGCAATCACAAGAACGTCTTGCGCTCCCCTAAGAAGATTCTAGGAGATCAACGTTTGGTTGGTATCGTGAAAGGATTGCCTCCCTTATTGCCTTAGAATTTTTTGAAAACTAGATTAGAAACGTAAACGGAAAAGCAGGAGTTGTACATTTGAGGAGAAAGCAGATGCCGCTGCTATTTGGAAATATGGTTCAAAATCGTATAAACTTCTGTCAAGAATGTTTATGTTGCTATCTATTAACACTTTGAGGGCAACCCTAAATAAAGTTCCAATAGAACCGGGTATCATCAAATCTATATTCGAAGTTCTCAGAATGCAAGTAAGTCGCAAAATGAACCCTAACTATGTAGGTACTCTGATGTTCATTTAGCCTCATCTGGACTACTTGCCTTGTGAGGACAGAGTTGTGGTTTTTGAAGATGATGGTTCAACAAGAACGGAAAAAATTGCAAACGATATTTGCGTACTCAGAGGAATTTTCGGAAGGTAGAAGCAACCTGTTGGTTTTGATTTTTGTAAAAATTTGATGCCTGACGTCAACATTGCCCATTTTTTTTATAAAGAGGTTATGGAAGGGCCAACAGCGATTGCTTTTGATTTTCGGGAGTGTTTTGCGTATCGAAGAACTAAAAACTCAACTTTTTCATTTACTTTTAAGAGAGTCTATCTTTAGATCTATGAAAAAAGTCAGCAATGTAATATTTGGTAAGCAAGAGCCTAACAAATCAATTCCATTGGAAACAGAAATGCAACAGTTATATTTACGTTTTACAGAAAGAAAGTAGAACGTTTGTATAATTTTGCATTTTGCAGGTTATTCATCAGCTTTATTTTGTTCATACCATGACAAAGTAGTGGGAAACATATTTTGTTATCGATTTTGAACATTTAATATTTAAAATGTTATTTTATTTTGCAACGTTTTGTTTGACTTTTGCTTACTTTTCTAATTTTCCGTAAGACATTTTTAGGGTATTATCAATGTGATGTTTTTTTTTTATTTCTTGTTATTATTGTATTTACATTTACAACTGAATGTTAAGTTTTAAATATACTATGTCAAATAATTTATCCACTTTTTTATACTATTTGTGTATTTTATATGTTAGTTTCAAATACGTTTTGAAACTAACATATAAAATACACAATCCATATATTCCCTTTCAATTATAAAAAAAAATGCCTAAAAAAATCGCTTTCAAATTTGGCGCCACTTTTAGTTCCCGACCCAGCCAGTAGAGGCTGACATTGTGACCAACATACAAGCATTAGAGATCGTGTTCTATAGTGAGGGTATTCTATGGTTCTTTCTCTCGACTCTAGAAAAAGGTCACAACTACATTCTTACTGCCAGAAGAGTTTCGCCTCTGGTGTGGTTATCATACTGAGTTACCGTGCTCTTTTGCGTTATTCCTAATTTCTCAATCTCAACCCTGCTCCCGAAGATGCCACTTACGAAAGTGTGCGAAACGTTGAGCCCAAAAACTCAAATAGCACGGTCCCATCCCGGAAAACGATCACACATTGACTCCGACCGTGAAACCTCTGAAATGAATGCTTGACAAAATAATCTCAATCCAACGTACTTTCGTGTGCCTTTTATCCGTTCACTCTTTAGTTTTCCGTTAATTGTCTCACCTCAGAAGGTGAATTTTAACGTCCTCTATACAGTGGAGTATGTTTCGGTACGTACAATTGAAGATAAAAAGGTACGTCAAACGTACTGTCAGACTGTCACCCAAACTTCTCTTATAAAACAATCTCGTGTTCGTGTAGTGTCATCTGAAGTTGCCTAGCAACAAATATAATTCACTGCCTGAAAATTGCTGAAAATGCATGAAGCTGTAATTTTCAGAAGTTAAAACTATGATCAATAGATTTTTTGACACAAAAAACCCCTAACCTGTAAATTTCATCGAAATCGTTAGAGCCGTTTTCGAGAAACCCATTATATATATATATAAATATATATATACAAACTTTGCTCGTTTAATAGTATTAGATAGATAAATGTTTAATATTTATGAAGCTGTGTGAGATTTCGTAACATCATCCCGGCGTTAGTAGGAATATGTATTTATTGTTAGTACGCAGCTGAAAATTCAAGTGACATTTGTAGTCATCGAGAAGATTAAAACTTTAGAAACCTGCTTTGTTACGGAAAATCTTCGAGTCGAAATAATTAAGCTATAGTGTTGAAATCTTCCCCAAGCCTGAACTTCTTAACAATGAGTTAACAATCGAACACCCGATAATAAAATCAGGTGTTCTAACGGAGGGTTTTACTAATGTAGCGGCTTCATGCCGGTTCTACGAAACGTGAAATAGAAAATGAAACTTGTTTCCATGGAGAAGCTGCATTGTTATATATAAATTCTCAATTGACACTTGTGCAATCGTGGTTCTGCATTGCATGGTTGGAAAGAAAGTTTCCAAGTGATTTGAACTGTCGTAAATGGGTAAAAGCTGTATTATTTATAATAACCAAAGTGTTTATAATAACAATGTGTCTGCTATTTAATGGGACAAGCTGACATCTTAACTTGCATTCGCTGAAATCTGTAAATAGCACTGAAACAGTAAGGACAAGATCTAAAACAAACAGTGGTTAATATTTTGATCGTTAAAATCTTGTATGAACGACACAATTTATAGCCAACAACGAACATCAAACATTGGTTGTGTTATTTCAGGTTATGTAAAAATTAATACAAATTCTTATTCCTGAATGTCGCTTTAAATGTAATATACCAAGAGAGAAATCAAAACACGATCAAAGACAGCCATGGATTTTACAAGATTTGTCTTTGGCAGATTAGCGTCAATTTGAAAGTTTAAGTTGAAAATGTAACAATCAAAGACAAACCTCTAAAACCCAATGGCTGTCTTTGATCGCGTTTTTTTTTTTACTCTCTAGGTAGCATTATATCGTTACTTTTAATGCTGGCAACCACGCATATATGAAAAAAATATAAGATCGATATTGCAAAGGCGAGGAAAGTTGAATACACCCAATTTTACAAATTTTACCTTCCCCATCGATAGTTGTAATAACAACACTCAACAGTAACTAAAACATATGTCTAACTTCATGTTTTCTTGGAATTTTTTTGAAGTAATTATCTGCGAAATTACTTTACTAGTGACAATCTGAAATTTTTACGTGCTTTTTACTTCCCGAGCGTAAGCTAAGTACAGTAGTAATCAAGTCCATCGGGCGATCTGCCAGTTTCATGTTTTCTAGACGTTTCATGACCCCTAGAGTACGAAAAAAGTGATTTCCCGTTTCCATCCGTCCGACTGTCTAACTGTCTGGCGTCTGTGTCGATTTTTATTACACACGTAATCTCCGAAACCACTGGACCGATCGTTCTCAAATTTTGTATGTACATCAGGAATAGATCTAAATGATTACACGCTAACCAAAATTTGGACAATCATCCCCACGTCATCTCAAAGAATTCTATTCTAAAATGCGGTGTACGAAACCGCTTTGAGTTTATATCCATCCATATTTTCGCAAAAACATTTGCAAAGTATAACATTTTACTACCAATATAGGATGTAAGTCCTGGTAGACCTGTTGATTCTTGAGGGAATCGCCTTTAAAAACATCAAGAAAGAATATAAATTCATGTCTAATCTCCAAAATTAATATTTTAATAAACTATTTCTTGAAATTGGTCGCACGTTCGATACCAAACTTGGCCGTTTCTTTCTTTTTCTCTTATTCACATGCTTATGTTAACTTCACTTGCAACTAACAAACTATGTAAACAAATCTAGGAAGTCGATTTTAACCTACTTTTAATAATTATCGCATGGATTTGAAACTTTGGAAGGGCTTGGATGACAATACAATAGTTTGGTACTATCGAGCAGTGGGGGGGTCCACTCTACTCTCTAAATTTTGTCATGTCACAAAATTTGAGTGTAATCGTATTCTTGAATTATAGTACTGAGAACATTTTAACTTTGGCACAGCAATGAAATTTAGAAATTATGAATGAGCCGTCACAATGTCGATCTTCACCATAGTGACACATTTTGATCTTAAAATATCAAAAATATGACATAGGTAAGAAAATCTATAAACGGCATGGTGGATCAAGGGACCCCTCTTTGGAGAGCTTATGTCACTTTAGATATGATCCCGTAGTTTTAAGAAAATTCATTGATACATAAAAAAACATATATTTATTTTATTTACACACTTCGATCAATTTTTTTTTAAACTTTGGTGTCATGTGTAGAAAGAGACTACTGTGATGACCATCAGCAGCATTTGATTATTCATTAGCACATTTTAAATTTCAAACCTGTACCTAGCGGTTCCAAAATTATAGAGTGGGGCTGACTTTACGGGAGCACTGTACAAAAGTTAATACATCCACCCCAACAAAAAAATACATGACATCCTCTCAATATTACGCGGCAAATGCATGTCTTATTTTTTGTGCTTCACGAATAAGAGCAGCAACAATAACTTTTTCGAATCTTGAGAGCTCAACTCGGAAACACTGAAAGCAAAAGATTTGTGTAATATTTCACTTGCTGTCCAACATGAATGTCGTATTTTAAAATTGAAACTCTTGTTGCAATCCTCTGATACCGTGAGGAAATTGTATTTAGGTGTTTTATACTGTCTGGCTTTATATTGTATATATTGCCGACGTCACTATATTATAAGAATTTTTTTACGGAAGCATGTGTGTTCACACAGTGATAAATTTTCTGTAAAATTTATTGCCAGTATAAAATGAGAAAAACCAAGGCAGAAACGAAGTTCGGACACCTTTAAGAAAAAAATTGATAAAAGTTAAAATTATCGCTGGACGAGAACGTGTAAAACGAATAAGCTAACGTGACGGTAAAGTAAATCGATCTTCAAGCAGCATTCAATTCCAAGGTAAAATTACATTTGCAAGCACATTTTCTATTTTTACATAAAAGGCGGTGTTTTATTTATATTTATACCATTCTCAGAAAAATTACGCGATAACTGGAAAAATTAACAGACTTTATTTACGTCAAAAACAATTTTCTGACTTACTTAATTATCAAAATAAATTTAAGTCACTTTAAAATGTAATAATTACATACAAGATTTCATAATACAAAATCATGCACAATGAATGAAATTAATGAAGAAGAACGAATGTACAATATTAACACAACACACAAAAACGCCGTATTCAAAAACAATAAACACTGCATTGTGTTTGGTAGGTATTTCCATCCGCTGTACGCACTACATATTTTAACATGTTTGTAGTATTTTTGTGTACCTTGAAATAGAGATGTTTGCCGGCAACAAATTTTGAAACGAACTCTTAATTATCCGTCCAGAAATAAAAATTGCTACCAATAATGGCAGTAATCAAAAAGAAAACAAAATTAAGTGCCAAAAAATTGTCCGAAAATTTTAGCGACACTGTTAAGCTTTGTAATATAACTAATAACTATAACATAAGTTGAGTGCCTGAAGAGAGATTGAATGCGTTAATAAAACTGGTATAATTTACGTTTTCAAGATTGGTAGCAACTACAAATGGCACTGTCAAGTAACAAATAAAAGAAAATGTACAATCAGCATACCCATTAATGGTAAGACCTGATGTGCTTGGGAACTTATATTAATGCCAAGAAAAGTTATAAGTCATAATATTTTGCTGAAAATTATATCCATTGTTAACAGTTTTATTGCCACGTGATTCGTCTAACTGGAGCTTTAGAGCATCCAGACAAGTTTACATTCAGAGGTCCTACTTTGTACAATTTCCCGTATTTCACGGGGTGTATGATAATCTTCAGCTTCACGCATTGTTAACAATAATTTATTATTGTGAATATTTATAATTCAAATATTGACACTTGTCTCACCAACCACGACAAAATTCCAATTTTTATTTTAAAATGAAAAAAAAAAGTGAGAAGTGGAAAAAGTAGTACAAAATACACATATCATAAGAAATTTTATAATAATAAAAAAATCGTGTCTCATTTGACAAGGTCAGAAGGACCTTACCTAAATGAACTTTGAACAAAAAAATAGCTTT